CTTGCCCGCTCGGGTAGCCAATCACAGTGCAGGATTTGATTCATCTTGCCCGCTCGCGGAGCTAGCCATATAATAAAGGGCCATAAAATAGATATGTGATCTTAATCAGCATAGATTCTACGATTTTTTTCTCCGCTTTCTCCTTAGTTTTAGGTTCGGTTGAGAAAATATATCAAATTCTCAAGACAGTGGTTGACCACATTTCCAAAAACATCGACGTTCGTCAAAAATACTCCTCTGCGCGTCGTATTTTCAACTCCTTCTCGGTGTTTGGAAATGTGGTTAAACCGGCACGGTCTTTCGTGTCAGATAAATTACTTCTAACGACTAAACTTCGTACGCAGATTTAAGATAAAGGAAAAAATGTATTTACCCTTTGGTGAGATCAAGAATTATATCCCTTGGCTCATCTAGGTTGTTGGATATCAGTGTCTTCCTCATTGTTCCATCCTTTCTACTGACCTCAATCTTGTTAGTACCAGTGTCAGACCAGTAGATATTCCCGCCAAGTGGATCAACAGCGAGTCCATCAGGGGAATAAATATTTTCGGACACCAGAACTTCCGGTGATGATCCATTTATAAATACTCTCGAGATTGTGTTGAGTGTAACGTCTGTCCAGTAAATCCTATTTTCTGTCAGATCCAGATCGAGGGCAACTGGCCGACGTATGTTCAACTCTATTGGTACAGGTTGTGCCTTCGCGTTGGATTCATTCAAGGACAATACAAGTATTTCTGCCTGACTAGCATCGGCAAACAACAAGAACTTCTGAGGAACTTGAAACACAAAAATATCTTAATTTCAAAAAGAGTTAAGTGTGCTGTTGCTCGAGAAAAAAACTTTAGCTATAACTTAACGGTTGGAAACATCGAACTTACTAAAGAATCTAGAGTTTGTCCAGTTTGTTTTTTAGAGTGATAAAACGTCAGAATTGAGTTGTTAAATTTTAATTTCTTGGAGTGCACACCAAAAGGGACGTTAACGGAGTACCGAAGTGCGAGTCACTTGAAGGGTTTCGGAAGCATACCCCGAGGAAATTCTTATTTTTAGGTGCTCGGTAAAATCAAAGCTCGGAAAAACGTTGACTTATATTTTTTTATATGTCAACCTTTGGAATAATTAATATCAGGTTTAATTGGAAATAATTCTAGAGACTGTCAAACCAGCTGGTTTTATTATCGAAGGCGCTCTTTTTCCCCCAAAATATACAAAGTACACCCAATCGCAGAAGAAAAAGGTATTGCTCTCTTTTTAACAAATTTATATAATTTTATCTTGGAATGTATCTGTTTTTTGGCAGCTGCCTGATGATTGCTTCACGAGTATCAAATAAATATGTTCGAACTTGTCCGACTCCACATATACCGAAAGGTCCTTGTCCAAGCCCGAACGGGGTTCTGTGAATTGTGCTTTTAGATCAGTTACCTTCCTCTACGCTTCCCTACTCTCAGGGGTACAAATGGGTATTGGATGATTGTTAGGTTAGCCTGGCAAACTTGTCAGCCAGGCGAACTTGTTAACTGTTGAGCCTGTTGGCAAATTCTAACCCCTAGAAATTTTCTTAGGACTCAAACTTACTTTGATGTTCACAAGTCTTCTCATCTCCAGCCAGAGTAAGGTGACCGGGGCATGCACACCTACCCCCGGTCGGCGACAGCAAACAAATGTGACTGCAGCCACCATTACCAAACGGGCAAGTAGCTACAGAGTTTCCTGAGGTAAAAAAATGGAGTTAAAATTCGTGACTTCACACTAGTTGTAGAGGTACACGACTGTAGTTTGATG